GGGCAATACCTAAAGAAAATTGAACAACCCACTATACCCAGGACTCCAGGAAACACTTTCCAGAGCTGATAAAGCCCGGAGGGTAGAAGGTGGTTCCCCACCTCAACATACAGGCAGGCTGCTAGAGCCAAGGAGAGTAAGAAGCACCCAGTATGGAGTGTGTGGAGAATTCTTCAAAGTTAGCCAGTATGTGGATGACAAGGCAATTACCCTAAACAGGACAAATAATACCCCCAAAATCCCTAAAAGCATTCCCTCTACCAAAGAACTGGTTGACAACATGGCAACTCTGGCCAAATGGCTTTCCTTGCCCCAGCCTACTGCCAGGGCTGATAAAATACACCCTGGGAATGCCTGTATATTACACCACAGGAAAGGGTGGAGTGAACAGTTCCTGCACTCCCACAATTCCCTTGCAGTTGTTTTTACCCAGAACTCTGCTCACTGGGGCCTCTCCCTCAGTGTCTTTTAATTCTGTCTTTAAATAAATTTTGCTTTTGTTTCTGCTAAAAACATGGCTGTTAGTTCTTTGCACACCATAGTAAAAAACCAAGGGACCCCAAAACTGACAATTTATGGTATTTAAAGTCACACATAAATAAAGTGGGGCCTTAGATTTGAAATGTGAATCACATCTCCTGACATACAACATCATTTGTAGATCCAAGAGATATTATTTCAACACTTTTTCTAAAAATTCAACATGATGTATAAAAAGATTAACTTTAATATATGACTTCATGGTTTTAAAAATACTATTTATAAAGCTGTCCTCACAATTTTTTCTTAATTTTTATAAGAGATATGACATTAAAACATTTCACACATTTTCACTTTAATTTTCTTTATAATTAGCATTTTAATATTGAATATATGACATGCCACAAATGAATTATTTTTCATAATTAGCATTTATAGGATTTCTTTTTATTAATTTATTAATGCTAAGGAATGCCCATGGTTATGCTGAAATATTTCCCACTTTAAATAGATTTATTGAATGTCTCTTCAACCTGAATTACTTTGGGATTAGCACATTATAAAGATTTGTTTCTCTTATGAATCCTTTGATGTTGAGCAAGGTATGCTTTTATGGTGAAGTCTTTCCACATTCTTGACATTGAAAGGGTTTTTCCCCTGTATGCATCCTCTGGTGTTGAATCAGATATGTGCTCTGGCCAAAGGTTTTCCCACATTCATTACATTCATAGGGGTTCTCTTCAGTATGAATTCTCTGGTGTGTACTTCTGTTGAAATATTTGTCACATTTTATGCATTTGTAAGGTTTCTCTCCAGTATGAATTCTCTGGTGTTGAGTAAGGTGTGTATTCCATCAGAAAGCTTTCCCACACTCATTACATTGAAACGGTTTTTCTCCAGTATGGATCCTCTTATGTTGAATAAGTGATGACCTATGACAATAGGCTTTGCCACATTCAGAAAATTCATAGGGTTTCTCTCCAGTATGCGTTCTCAGATGTAAAATAAGCTGAATACTCTGGGTAAAGGCTTTCCCACATTCTTTACATTAAAAAGGTTTTTCTCCAGTATGAATCCTGTTATGTTGCAGCAGGGATGAGCTGTGACTATAGGTTTTACCACATTCAGTACATTCATAGGGTTTCTCCCCAGAATGAGTCTTCTGATGCAGGTTTAGATGTGAACTTTGGCTAAAGGCCTTCCCACACTGATTACATTCATAAGGTTTCTCCCCTGTGTGAATCCTCTGATGCTGTGTTAGGCATGTACTTTGGTTGAAGGCTTTACCACATTCACTATACTCATAGTGTTTTTCTCCAGTATGAGTTCTCTGATGTAGAATAAGGGATGAATCCCAGCTGAATGACTTACCATAGACATTACACTCATATGGTCACTCTCCTGTGTGACATCTTTCAGGTTGTATAAGATGTGTTCCCCTGCTGAAAGATTTCCCACGATTTTTGCATTTGCAGGGTTTTCCCTAACACCAAGCTTCTGATATCTAATATGATATGGATTAAATCCAGTATGAGTGTTCTGGAGTTGAATGAGATCTGAAGCAGAGCTAAAGTATTTCTCACATTTATATGGTTTTTCACTCACATGGGTTCTCTGCTGATTACTGTGATCTAGGATATGACCATTGTCCTCTTTGTGCACTATTTCCCCTGAGGGAATTTTGTTTTGAGTAACAAAATTTGATTGCAGTCTAAATACCTTCTCAAATCCATTATCCTCATGACTGTTCTTTGGAGTCAGGTTTTTCTTAAAGGTAAATGCAATCTGCTCTGAATGTCTCTCCAAATGACCAAGTGACTCTGGGATTTTCTTGTGGAGTCACAGGTTATATTCCCTTTATTGGTTATCATGTCTTGGGAAAAGTCTTTAGAAATTACTTGATTGAGATTTGACTCTGCAATTCCAGATCTAGTCTCTTGCTCTGGGAAAAGAAAAGAAAAGAAAAGAAAAGAAATGGAAGCTATATGACCACTTAGAGGGACAGAAAATTCCCATTACTTTTTTCCTTTTGGTTCTCCAAACAGACATTTGATTGGTTTTAAATATGCCATGCAAGCCATGTGCCACCAGGCACAGGAGCAAGGGAGATGTGAAAAGGCTTAGGTGATTGTAGGGTGCTTATATGTGAAGTAAATGAGGACTTCCCTCTAGAATGACTGCAAGGTGAAAGCTGGTGCCCTGAGTAGGGACAAGGGATAGTGAAGAGGGGAATTACTAGAATAAGAACCGCTGGTGAGCAAAAAAAGAATACTGAAAGGCGATAAGGATGGATAAAGAGGAAGGCAAATGTGTGAGGTGGCAACAAGGAGAACAAGGGACGAGAGGACAGGAGAGGAGACTCACATGAACTTCAAGAAAACAGGGACAGAAAGTCACTCAGGATCTCACCAGACAATTGGTACACACCCAGGTCAGAGGGGTGGAGTCAATCTGGCAACTGTGGTTGGGGACTATGGTGACCAAGGGAGTGAAGAGAAAGAAAAGGAGATGAAAGTCACATGCTGGTCCACCAAGGGCTTCTCTTGAAAATCCAGAATGCCTCCACATTGGAGGAGAGAAATGGAGGGCAAGCATGTTGGGGAGGTCCAGGTAGACAGTTCTAGAGGAGCAAATGTAGGTTGAGCACAGGGGAAGGGGCTGGAGGGACTGGAGGGGCTGGCTCCTGTGCAGAAAAGGCTCCAAGGCTCTAGATATAGCCTGTGATTTCTCCTGTGAGAGGCTCAAAGGCCAGCGCTTTTAGAAACCACTGACTTGATGGACAGCCTTATGTGTGAGCCCCTGGGGCCCCTTCCTGCCTGTTTGCCTGGAGAGGGACCCCTAGGGATTTCCTTCCATGGCCACCTGCCTTTCTCCAACTGGGAAATAACATTAGGCTTGGAATTTTGGTGTCCTGCTTGGGAAAGAGAAGAGGTATAGTTATCGGGTATGAGCCAAGGTTTTATTCCCACTCCTTTGTCTTTGGAAACTTTGCAACAAGAATAACAAAGGCCTTGGGCAGGGTAGTCTTAATTTCCCACACTCAACCCCTCAAAAAAACATGCGACAGATATACCCCAAGTCTACATCCCAAGGAACAGGACACAGAGACCTCTGGATATAAACATGGCTCCATGGGTCAGAGGCCTAAGGGCCTGGGTAGTCAAGGTTTAAATAGAGAAAAGAAAGCAGATTCCTCTTTCTCCAACCTGGATTAGCAGATGAGCCCTCCTAGGACCTCTAGCTCACTGTGCCTCTACAAATACAAATCTTTTTCCAGTTGCATCTTTCAAAATCATGCATATGTTCATTGTAATCTATATCTGTGCTTATTTAATAAAAAAGAATCACTTGTCAGTAACTTACTTAACTTCTGCGCCTCTTCCCATCAGCTGAGCAGACAATATGGGCAGATGGTACCTGTGTCCCCTGCCCCACCCCCTTGTCCCTGCCAGGGTGCTGCCTGGTGCTCAGCACAGATGATCCCCAGCTCAGCACAGATGATGAGCCCCAAGGGCCTTTACCCAGGGAGGACAGGCTTCTGTAGTTCTCCAACATGACTTCTTCGTGCAGAGCCCTCTGAGTGGTACCCATGTGCTCCCACTCCTCCTGGGTGAACTCCACGGCCACATCCCGGAAGGTCACTGAGTCCTAAGGTATTAAACATGACAGTACTAGGTAATGGGAAGAACACATGTCATATCAATAATGCTGTCCCAACCAGCGGAGAAAAGCATACGCAAAGAAAGCGGTAACCGCTATCATGCTGAATATAAAATATTAGTGACCGTTTTGTCCATCAGGAGCAAGACATTATGCTGAGTTTTGGTATTTTAACCTCCTCCTAAAAGTTCTAGTAGGCCTCCCCAGTGGCGCAGCGGTTGAGCGCTGGGTTGCAAAGCTGCCCACAGCCTCTGCAGCGCTGGTTCAATCCCCGGCTGCTCCCGTGCCACCAGAGGAGGGTCCCACATGGCGCGCCGACCTCTCCTGCCGCCCGCTGCTCCCCTCAGCAGTGTACCTCCATCCTTCTGCCTGCTCTGCTCCCTGCTCTGGCTCTGGTGAATTCTCTCACCCTCCCGTGCTTCTAACTGTACCCAGTGCTTGTATAAATAAAAAAAATAAAAATAAAGTTCTAGTAAATGCAGTAAGGTATTCCAGCGGAATAATGACAGCTACAGGCACCAGTGTGAGAATCGCAGGGACATGATATCAATGGGTGAGGAGAGAGGAAGTAAATTGGAGATAAATACATTTATCAGTATTATAGACCGAATTGTCACCTCCTCCACCAAGTGATCTGTTGAAGCCCTAACTCCCAATTTGACCATGTTTGGAGATGGGGCCTCTGAGGAAATAATTAAGGTTAAATGAGTTCTTAAGAGTAGGACCTGATCCAACAGGAGTGGTGTCCTTACAAGAAGAGGAGGAGGAACCAGGAGTTTGAGTGCACAGAGAAAATGCCTCACCTCTTGTGAGGTCACAGGAGAGGGGGCTGCCACAAGCCAGGATGAGAGTCCTCACCAGAAACGGATGCCGTTGGCACCTTGATCTCAGACTTCCAGTCCATAGAACTGTGAGAAATTTAATTTCTGTTGTTTAAATCATCAGGTCTGGTATTTTGTTATGGCACCCCTAGCAGAATGACATATTCAGTGTTCAAACATGCAAATTTGAGCAATATGTTGTTTAGGTATAACCATAAAGAAAAGTAAGAAAAAATTTCTACAAATTTGAGGCAAGAGATTATATTAAAGGAGGAGGGGGAGGGACACTGTTTTTTAAGATGAATAGATGGATATGGAGGAAATGTGTCTGCTAAGTTATTTGGAATAGAAAAAAGAGTTACTGGAAGGAAGGTTGGTGAGGGCTAGGTCCTGGGTTGTGCAGTCCAATGGCACCCAGAAACCACTTATTTGTGGATTGCGGTTCGGTATCTTGATACCTGTGTCTGTCTTCCTTATTCTCTCCACAGACATGACACTATCCTCTCCTGGCCCCTTGCTTGGATTCCTGGGTTCTCCCACTTTTTGTTATCCTTAAAGAAATGACTTGCTCCACATCCCTCTGTCCTGGGCACCCCTGGGCTTATCCATGTCCTTGGGTTCAGGCCTGTCTTCTCACCCTTATTTCCCAATGTTGACTTTCAGCTCTGAGTCCTTGCATTGTCAGAACAGAGTGAGGGGGAAGAGGAGTCATTGGAGAAGCCGGGCCAACAGCATTCCCTCCATCACTGGGGATATGCTCTCCTCCATGGGGTGGAGGCCACACAGGTAGAAATTGCACCAGGTAACAGTACTCCTGTGACCACCACAGGCCACCTCACGGGCTTGGTTCCTGTCTCACTTTCCATGAGGCTCTACGAGTGGCAGTGCCTTCCTCACTGGGAGTGGAGTCTCAGAAGATCCACCAGCATCACCCAAGGCTGAGGGCAGCAGAGGCTAAGGGGGCAGGCCAGGTGTGAGGTCCCAATAGCAACATGGAAAGACATTCTCATCAGTGCTGAGAGACAGAGAAAGCTCGAACGACCTGGCTTGATAGTTATAACACCTCAGTGTTACAAACACCAAAGCAAATACCCAGAAAATTCAAAACCACAAAGAAGGCAAAAGGACAAAAGTAGTCAATCCGCTAGTTGAGAGTTTGTCCCCCTAGGTTAAATTAGGATTGAATAAACACCATGTTCTCCCTCCTCTAGTTTAGTTCATACCACAAGTACAAACAGAATGAGACATAAACTCACTTAAGTACCCAAGGTTTTAAAATTTTTATAATTACATTGAAATTTTTTAAAGGGATAGCTTTTGAAATTTTTAATAAAAATTTACAGTCTGAATTTAGAAAGTAGAAAAATACAAGCATCTATTAACAAAAATTCATAATAATTTAAATTAATAGAATAAAGTAAGTCAGGAGAGGATAATTATGTAACATAAATAAACAAAAATAATCAATTATTCTTCAAACAAAATTCCTACCCATGTGGGAAGCAACCTCTGGATGTTAAGAAACTGATGCAAAAATTTAAATGGAGACTTCTGGTGACACTTGGTTTGGCATTAAGTGGATTCTTTACTTGTGGTTAAATATGTAAGTCAAACATGATGAGAAACTGAGGGTCTTTATGACGAGGGAATTAATTTATTCACATCCTACTAGGTAAAAGCTTCTCTTAGCCAGCTCTTTGTTCATGATTTTCCTTTTGGAAATTTAGTTTCTTTTTTTTTTTAAAGATTTTATTTATTTATTTATTTATTTATTTATTTATTTATTTATTTATTTATTTATACATACAAGCACTGGGCACAGGCAGAAGCGCAGGAGGGTGAGAGAATTCACCAGAGCCAGAGTGGGGAGCAGAACAGGCAGCGATGAAATACACTGCTAAGGGGAGCAGCGGGCACGGCAGGAGAGTTCTGTCGCTCCATGTGGGACCCTCGCTGGTGACCAGGGATCTAACCGGTGCTGCAGAGGCTGAGGGCAGCTTTGCAGCCCAGCGCTCAACCGCTGCACCACCAGGGGAGGCCCGGAAATTTAGTTTCTAAAGTAGAAGTTCATTTTTAAAGGTACAGCAGCTAATCTATGTAAAGAACTCAGAACAGGCTGTTTCCTTTAAGCAATGATGATTAAAGGACTGAATCCAAGGCTATTAGTATATCATATAATAAGTACAAGAGGGCATTCTCTCAATCACATACTTGAGGAAAAGGTGAAGTCTTTAGAAAAGATCTCAGAGGAAGGCTGACTGAAATTCTATATTTGTACATCGATTTTTCTTTCAGAATAAGAAATAAGCAAATATTAATGGAATGAGAAAATGTTTTGTTGAATATTATCTTTCCAAATACTTGATTAATGGATGTATTTGGAAAACATTAATTATGGCTACCAAAACCAAAACATATTTGATGTGATTAAAAAAGATTTAAATGCGAACAACTTAAGGCATTTTTATACAGAAGCCAAATGAGGGTAACCTGCCCAATTAGACATTGGTTCAAAACCCTGGTCATTAAAACAACATTAGATTCATGAAACCAAGCATCCTAGGTGGCCTAAAAAGAGGTATTTATTCAGACATATACAATGGCTTTTAGGCCAGAAGATGAAATGGATCATTTTTAAAGATTAAATTTATTCCTTTTAAACCATAGCAGTCATTACAATGGAATTAGAGGATTTTTGAGAAAATAACCTTGAAAAGCTAACACCAAGGTCACCATCCATTCTAAAACAACATGTACACTTGAAAACAGAAATATCTAAAATTTTCTGTATACCCTACTGAATTTGAGAGGCAAAAAACTGGGAAAAAGAATTTGCAAAATATATTATTTTCAAAGGGTTGGCAATCTTCTACATAAAAAGTTCTTACAAATAAAGAAGAATAACAAAATAAGAGAAAATGGACATAATCGATGAGTAAATAATTCACAGAAGAAATTCAAATGACTAATAAATTATGAGAATTTATTAGAATTCAATGAGAACTTGAAATAGAAATTAAAAGAATAACTTAATTTATTGAGACTGGCAAAAAAATTAAGTTTCCTAGACTCTGGTTTCTAGTAATTGACTAATTGAGTATCCAAACTGATTCTTCAGCAGAGAATAAATGAAAATGGTTAAAACCTTAAGGTAGAAGACTTATTACTAAAAATGCATACATTACTCATAAATTTATTATATGATTAATCAAAATAAAAAATGAATTTTTTTAACCTTGCTAAAAAAATGATATTAACATTTACTTGGGAGAAAAAAATCAGGCAAAAGGAACTTACAAAGTTAAAAGTATTAAATTACCTTTGCCTAAGTTAAAAAATTTTGCTTCCATTTAAAAATAAATACTAGAGGGCCTCCCCGGTGGCGCAGCGGTTGAGCGCTGGGTTGCGAAGCTGCCCGCGGCCTCTGCGGCGCCGGTTTGATCCCCGGCTGCTCCCCGGCCACCGGAGGAGGGTCCCACATGGTGCGCGGACCTCTCCTGCCGCCCGCTGCTCCCCTCAGCAGTGTACTTCGGTCCTTCTGCCTGCTCTGCTCCCCGCTCTGGCTCTGGTGGATTCTCTCACCCTCCTGTGCTTCTGACTGTACCCAGTGCATGTATAAACAAACAAACAAAACTAAATAAATAAATAAATAAAAACATGCCTCTATTAAAAAAAATTATTTATAAAAATAAATAAATAAATAAATAAAAATAAATACTAGAATAGAATAGATAACATCAATATACAGGTTCCTGGGTTTTATACCTTGGAAACTTTATGAATGGTCATAATTTTATAACTTGGAAACATGATGTTACACACATCTAGAAGACAAATTACCCAATAAATTTGTGCTGAAATCACTTGTTGTATGTCATAAATTGGGTAACCTAGATGGAATGGAAAACATTCCTAGGAACACACGATCTACCAAAATAGATTCAAGACAAAATAGGCAACAGAATAACAAGAATATTGAATCAGTAATCAATTAGGCAAGAAAAAGAAATGAATAAAATGAAATGTATCCGAATTGGAAAGGGATAAGTAAAACTTTATTTGCATATAAAATGATCCAATGTGTAGAAACCTCTAATGACACCACAAAAACATAATAGTTAATGAACTCAGCACACAAAAATTAGTTGCATGTCAATATACTACCAATGAACAATACAAAAAAAGGAATTAAGTAAACAATTTCATTTTACATTATCTTCAAAAATAATAAAATACTAAGGAATAAATTTAACAAAGGAGGGGCAAGATTTTGCACTGAAAGCTACAAAACATTGCTGATAGACATTAAAGAAAGTGGAAAAACATCCTGTGTTCTTGTTTTAGAAGACTTACTAATGTTAAGGACAAAGTTAGGAGAATTCTCATTTCCTGATTTGAAAACTTAACTGTAGTGGTACAACAATCAAAATACATGAGGCACTTGCGTAATAATAGACATATTAACCAATGTAACAGAATTCAAAGCCAGAAATAAACCCTTACCTTTACGGTCAATTGATTTTTTTGAGAGAGGTGCCAAGACTGCTGATGAAAAGTCTCTTCAATAGACAGTGAAGGGAAAACTAGATATCCATATACAAGTGACTGAAGTTGTTGGACTGTTATCATACAACAAAAAGTAATAAAAAGTGGATGACAGACATAAATTTACGAGCTAACACGACAAAACAAACAGAGAAAACAAAAAAGCAAATCTTCACAACTTACGATTTTTCAATGGTTTCTTAAATATAACACCAGAAGCACACCCAACAAAATTTAAAAAGTAATACATTGGACTGCAAAACTTTTTTTTTTTTTTTAAACAGAGGCATGTTTTATTTATTTATTTGTTTGTTTGTTTGTTTTGTTTATACAAGCACTGGGTACAGTCAGAAGCGCGGGAGAGTGAGAGAATTCACCAGAGCCAGAGCGGGGAGCAGAGCAGGCAGAAGGACCGAAGTACACTGCTGAGGGGAGCAGCGGGCGGCAGGAGAGGACTGCGCGCCATGTGGGACCCTCACCCGGTGGCCGGGGAGCAGCCGGGGATCGAACCGGCACGGCAGAGGCCACGGGCAGCTTCGCAACCCAGCGCTCAACCGCTGCGCCACCGGGGAGGCCCTGCAAAACTTTTTAAAAAAGATTTATTTATTTGTGCATACGAGAGCTGGGGTACAGGCCAGAGGTGTGGGGGTGGGAGGATTCACCAGAGACAGAGTGGGGAACACAACAGGCTGATCGACCGAAGTACACTGCTGAGGGGAGAAGCGGGTGAGTCAGGAGAGGTCTGCGGCACCATGTGGGTTGCTCCCTGGCAGGCCAGGGATCTAACTCTTGCTGCAGAGGCTGCGAACAGTTTCACCAGCCGTGTCTTAACCCCTTGCACCACCAGAGAGGCCCCCAATCCTCTCACCCCCTGCAATTCTGACCTATACCCCAGTTCTTGTATGCATAAATAAATAAATCTTTTAAAAATACATGTTTTTACCACAATAAAAATAGCTAAGTGGCAATCTGTGTGTAGCATTCTATCACTTGGGTGAAAAAGAAGTAGACAAATGCATAAGAGGTGGTCTGGAAGGAAAACTGGGTGGCCCAGGGCAGAAGTAGCAGACTTGCATTTTTCGGTTCACCTTTTTGTGTTTGAATTCTGAAATCTGTGCATGTATTACTTATTCATATATTTACTTTAAAAAAGATTTAGACATGGGTTTTAAATATGACCCCATTACATAAATGTACAAAGGTCAGAAGTCAATTCATGACAGAATAACAGGTCCCCTCCCCACACTCACACCTGTACAGGGAGCAAAGTCTTCATTGGTGCCTGCACTGTGACCATGTTCTCCTCCAGGAACAGCTGCAGAGAGAGAAGACACATGAGTGTCTGCTCTAGCAGAACTCAGACCTGCCCAGTACTCTTTTCCAAGCCCCCTGCCCCCCAACAAGGCAGGTAGGACATGGCCATCATGTACTTGTGGATATATACTGTAAAGGGAGAAAGAAAGGGCCTTTGACCTTGGGTTTCTTACCTTTCCTGACTTCCACGAGGCTTTCACAGTGTGGAACACTTCTCTCTTATGACCAGTTCCCCCCACAAAGATCACTCAAAGCCCAGACGGCTTCATTAATGAATGAATGGGATCAAATATTTTTTTAAATTTATTTATTTATGCATACAAGAACTGGAGTCAGACTAGAGGTGTGGAGGGTGAGAGGATTCACGAGAGACAGATTGGGGAGCAGAACAGGCAGATCTACTGAAATACACTGCTGAGGGGAGCTGCGGGCAAGTCAGGAGAGGTCTGCTGAGCCATGTGGGTAGCTCTCTGGCCGGGGAGCGACCTCGTGCTGCAGTGGCTGCAGACAGCTTCATAGCTAGCGTCTTAACCCCTTGTGCCACCACGGAGGTCCGGGATCAAATATTTAAGGGCAAAATACTTGCACAAACACTATCAGAAAATAAAAAAGAAGGGAGTGCCTCCTAACTTGCTTTCTGATATAACCCTGATATCAAAACTTGAGAAATTATTATAAGAAAATGAAGACCAATATCATGAACATAGATGCAAAAATCCTCACCACATATTAGCAAATCAAAGGTGTGTATGTGTGTATATCTCCCAGTAGAAATTTACCCCAGAAATAAAATGTTGGTTCAACACTGGAAAAATTATGTAACTAGGGGCCTCCCCGGTGGCGCAGCGGTTGAGCGCTGGGTTGCGAAGCTGCCCGCGGCCTCTGCAGCGCCGGTTCGATCCCTGGCTGCTTCCCGGCCACCAGAGGAGGGTCCCACATGGCACGCAGACCTCTCCTGCCACCCGCTGCTCCCCTCAGCAGTGTACTTCGGTCCTTCTGCCTGCTCTGCTCCCCGCTCTGGCTCTGGTGAATTCTCTCACCCTCCCGCGCTTCTGACTGTACCCAGTGCATGTATAAACAAAACAAACAAACAAAGAAAGAAAGAAAGAAAGAAAACATGCCTCTATAAAAAAAAAATTATGTAACTAATCACATTAAATTATTAAAATCGTAATATCTTAATAGATGCAGAAAATCATTTGATAAAATTCAATACTAATCCATGATAAAAATACTTAGCAAAGCAAGAATGAGGTTATTCAAACAAAGAGAATTTACAAAAAAATACCTACAATTCATATCATAATAAATAATGACAAGTGAAGGTGTTACCCTGACATTGGGAATTAGGTAAGAGTATATGTTCCCAATATTTCTACTTGACATTGTACTGGAGGTGCCAGTCAGCAAAATAAAATAAGAAGGCATAAATAGTAAAAGGGAAAAGAAAAACTATCTTTGCAGACAACATGATTATCTCCAAAAAAACTTAAGAGATCTATAACATAATTTTTAAAGTTAATAAGTGAATTAAGCATAGTCACGGGACATAAGGGTCTCCTTAATTCTTACTAAACTTAATACTCCAATCCCCTGTTACAGTTAATAATTTCTTATGACACATTTTCCCTTTTCATATTATGGTGTAGTTTCTTTCTCCTGGTTGTATCCTTTGCTGTCTAAGTAAAAAACCTACTCTCAGTCTCTACATCATTATATTTAAAAAAAAAAATTTTGAATTATATTGTAGATCTAAATGGAAGAGCTAAAACTGTAAGTTTCCTAAAAAAAATATAAGAAGAAATTCTGTGATCTTCCCATAGGCAAAGGTTTCTTAAGTAGGATAGAAAAATTACTAACCATAAAAAATGTGATTAATTGGATGTCACTAAAATTTAAAATTTCTGCCCCTGTAAGAGATATTAAGAAGATAAAGGGCCTCCCTGGTGGCCAAGGGGTTAAGTCTCAGCCCTATCAACACTACTTCCTGAGTTCAATCCCCAGCCACATGGCCCAGCAGACCTCTCCTGTCTCGCCCCCTGCTCCCCTCAGCATTGTATTTCAGTAGATCTGCCTGTTCTGTTCCCCACTCTGTCTCTGGTGAATCCTCTCACCCCCCACGCCTCTGCCCTGTACCCCAGTTCCTCTACGCAAAAAAAAAAAAAAAAAAAAGGATGAAAACTCCAGGTGTAGGGGAGGGTTATCCACACCCTGCATGTTCCCAAGGAATGGCTGTTTTCAGGACTGGCCTGGAGTCTCACTGTCTCAGATCGTCCAGATAGTTTACATTAACAGTGTGATTCTTAGTAAAACGCTGCTTCCCATCTGAGGTCTCAGCTTCAGTGGTGGAGGGAAGCCTATGTGATTAACCGCCAATAAAACTCAGGACACTTATTCTTGTGCAAATTTCACTGGTAGGCAACAGCTCACACATGTTGTCATACATCATCAGTGTGGGGAAATTAGGTACATCCCTTGTTATCACAATGGGAAGGGATATATGGCAGCTCCTGCCTGGTGTCCTCCAGACCTCACCTCAAATGTGTTCTTCCTGTGCGGACTTTACTCTGTATCCTTTTGGGGTAATAAGCACTAGTAATAAGTATGACTTCTGCATCCTAAGAGAGTCTAGTAAAACAATGAGGGTGGTCTCAGAGACCCCCGAGACAGCAAGTCCCAGAGGGAAGGAAATATTCACTATAAATATATATATGTGTGTGTGTGTGATAATGTAGACAGACACAATACATATGGATGTAAGTGTAGAACACATACATGATAAACGTCTTGTATCCAGAATATAAGGTGAATTCTAAAGTACAAAAATGAAACAACCCAATAAAAAACTGGGCAAAGGAGTTCACAAAGGAAGATGTAAAAATGATAATTAGGGCCTGTCTGGTAGCACAAGGGGTTAATTCTCAGCACTATGAAGCAATCTGCAGCCACTGCAGCAGGAGTTCCACAACCTCCGCCCCCCTCCCCGGCTGCTCTTCTCAGCAGTGTATTTCAGTCAATCCGCCTGTTCTGCTCGCTTCTCTGTCTCTGGTGAATCCTCTCACCACCACCGCTTCCCCTGAACCTGTGGACTACACCCCAGCTCTTGTATGCATAAATACATAAATCCTTAAAAAAATGATAATCAGCTTACTATCATTAGTCGAAAGGAAAACCCAAATGAAAAACACAATGAGAGACCACCACATACCACCACATCAGAGGAATAAATGTAAAAATCTGACAATACCAAGTGTTATTAAAAGCTGGTGCAAGTGTAATTGTCACCTACACTATATATGACCAGAAGCTATTCTGTTACTAAGAGTTTACCCAGGAGAAATGAAAATATATGCCCACAAAAAGTCTTGTACACAAATGAATATGGCAGCTTTACTCATAGAATTGAAAACTAGAAACAACTCAAATGCTCATTGACTGGTAGATGAATAAACAAATTGTGATATATTTATACAAAGAACATTCTATAGCAATAAAAAGGAACACACCACCAATACATACATGATATTAGATGAACCTCAGAGACATTAAGTTGAATTTAAAAAAAAAAACACAAACGAGTACATATAGGAGAGTTAGATTTACATAAAGTGCTAAAGCAAGTTCAATGAGACAGAAATCAGACTGGTGAGTGCTTGGGTGAAGAACTTTAGAAGTGGACTAGTGAGAGGCACGAAGAACTTTCTGGAAGTTAAAAATGTTTTCTGACTTCACTGGGGTGGTAGTTACAGACTTATATACTTGTCAAAACCTATAAAAATGTGCATTTTATTATATCTCAATATATGTCAGTAAAGTTGAGTAAAAAGGAAGTGGGCCCTCCTCTACCCCCTGTGTGTCCTCTGTCATCCTGCCTCACCCAGCACCTTCACATCACCCATGAACGAATCTCATTGAGTCTCATCTTTCCCAGAGATGTTGACAACTCCCCAATCCTCCCTCACTCACCATACCCCTCCCTGGTGCTCTGAGGCTGAAGAGACCTGAATTTCTCCCTCTGGATGTCACCCAGGCCAACATCTGGATGTCACCCAGGCCAACATCCTTTCACCATCATCCACTCACCAGGTGTCCCCATCTCGGGATATGATATCTCCATCCTGAGCTGCTCAGACCAGAAATGGAAGATTCTGAACTTGGGCATCAGCCACACCTCTGTGCTCTGACATCAAGTCTACAGACTCATCACCCCAAATCCCTCTATCTATCATCTCCTGCACAGCCACAGTCCAAGTTTGAGTCTCCTTTTGTCTGAACTAACACAGTGTCCTCCTTCCTGGCTTTCCTGCCACTAACCCAGACCTCCTATAACCAGACTATTTCTATAACAATGCCAGATTGACCTTACTGAGATTCATTCCTTAAATACATACAGAACACCTTAAATTCACAAGTGCTGGTCAGTTTTAGGCACTGAAAATACAGGCGGGAATAGGTAACAATTTCAATGGAGCTATATTCTAGTTGGGAGGAGGAGTAGCAATAAACAAGACAAGGAAAAGGAAGGCTAGACACTGTGGTGGCCACCCCAAGACCTTGGCTGCGTGCTGTTGTGTCATCCCTTCCCACAGGGTAAGCAGAAACAAAGGATTCTGAGTCTAGATCATGAAAGATATTCATTGTGACTTTCGCCTTTCTTCCTTTTACTGAGTCACCATGTTTTGAGGATGTTCAAGCAGTCCTAAGGAGACATATGGTGAGGAGCTGAGACCTGCTGCCAACAACCTGACCTGACACCCACGTGTAGGCTCCATCTTGGAAGAAGATTCTCCAGCTCTCCAGACTCCCCAGATTCTTCATCCAGTTAAGCATTCAGATGCCTTCATCTCTGGCTGACAGTCTGACTGCAACCTCAAGAGAGGCCCAAGCCAGAAACACGTGATAAGCTGCTCATGAATTCCTAACCCACAAAAATGGTGTAGGTAATACAAGCTCTCTATTGCTTTAAGTCCCAAAATTCTGTGAAATTTATTAGGCAAGAATAGATAATACAGACAGTGAAGAGATAGGAGAAAAATATGAAGCAGGGAAGGGTGATAAGAAGTATGAGGGGGGCAAAAATTTCAGAGACCATGTCCAGAAAAGACTTCCTTAGCAAAGGGTAACAAAGAACAAGGAAGCAGCCATGTGGAGATCTGGGGGGAAAGCATTCCCAGAGAGGGTCTAGCACATGGAAAGGTGCCTAGTGAATTCCAGATACAGCAGCGATCAGTGTAACTATGGCAAAGTTGGGAAGAAGAGATGAGGTTGGAGTTGGTGAGACCTCAGCTTCCACTGTGAGTGGAATGGGAGCCCGTGGTGGAGGGGGCATGATCCGGCTCACTCTGGAATGTGCAGTTGCCATGAGAACAGATTGGAGTGGGGACAAATAGAAGCAGGAAGGGGCTATTTAAACAATGCAGGGAGGGAAGGTGTTGATCTGGGGAAAAGCTGAGGAGGGTCAGAGCTTGGACATATTGTGAAGAGTGAGCCAACGGTTTACAGGTGAATCAAAGGTGGGATGTGAGGAAAAGAGGAGAAGTACTCCAAGATTTCTAGGCTGGACATCTTGGAGAATTATGATTTATGGAGATAGGATATTATCAATTCTGAACATGTGACAATAGGAAAGAGTGTGGGATGGGGCGCAGAAGATGTCTACAGGGAGAGCAGGAGACATTTTGTTAGCACATGATGGAGGGGCTCCCAAGTACCCCAAACCGTTAAGGGGTGCATACTCTACAAGGGATCCTGCTATCCACAATCACAAAGGCAAAGGAAGTAGACCCTTAGTGTGAAAGATTTTTAATAAAATTGGTGTGCAGAGAGAGAGAGAGAGAGAGAAGAATTTCAAAAAACAGTTGCCCAGTAAAACTCCCCAAATTATTCATTCCCTTGTGGACAAAAGCTGGGACAAACAGGGTTGGCCTGACATGGTGTTGCTGAAGCCAGAAAGCTTGCCATAGTCTCAGTCACCTGGCAGGTTACCATGGGGGTTAGGTAGGCCCCAGATAGCTGGGACAGGACAGACTTAAAATTCAAAATATAGCACATCAAAGATACTGGCTGCCATTATCTCTTCCAAGGACCAGGAGCAGCTTCCCTACATCTCTCCCCCATGTGTCTCCTTCTTGCAGTACCAGGGTACAAGTCAAAGCGAGAAAAGTAAGAGGAAAGAGCAAATGCCTGCCTGCCTTCCATGGTATACAGGTCCCCCTGGTTCCTCACCTGGGCTCCTAGTTCCCAGTAGTTCCCCCAGTCACAGGTTCATATGAACCGGAAAGTCTGGTTCATAGCATACTGGGACTTGTAATTCAAGGTGGCTGCATAAAGGTGGGGGGAGAAAAATGGTACCTCCCCTTTATAGAGGTGTATCTGTAACAACTTTAGACATGTTAAGTTTGTAGGAGAGCAAAAACCTGCCACACCAAAACATGTCTTTGGCAAGAGGCTTGGTTCATGGGAGGAGTTCTGAAGGCTGGGTGGAAGTTGCTTTTGATGTTTTTATCCAAACTTTTCTCTGTAAGGGTCTTTTCCAGGAATCCCCCTATCTCTTCTCCTTAGCTAGAACAAAGGGAGATGGGGAGAATAGAGGGGAAGTCAGGGTCTTTACTGGGGACTTCCCCTTTATTCTCCCCATCTCCCTTTGTTCTAGCTGAGCTACTTAAGAGGGCATCTAGGGCCTCCCCGGTGGCGCAGTGGTTGAGCGCTGGGTTGTGAAGCTGCCGGCGACCTCTGTGGCGCCGGTTCGATCCCCGGCTGCTCCCCGGCCACCGGAGGAGGGTCCCACATGGCGCGCAGACCTCTCCTGCCGCCCGCTGCTCCCCTCAGCAGTGTACTTCGGTCCTTCTGCCTGCTCTGCTCCCCGCTCTGGCTCTGGTGGATTCTCTCACCCTCCTGTGCTTCTGACTGTACCCAGTGCATGTATAAACAAAACAAACAAACAAATAAATAAATAAAACATGCCTCTATTAAAAAAAAAAAAACATTAAAAAAAAAAAGAGGGCATCTAAAGTCACTGAGCAAATTACTCAGTCATGCTGGGTCTCTCCCACATAGGCTCACAGAGTACATGTTATTATTAAATTCTCTATGGCTTTTTCTCTTATCAATTTGTCTGATGATCATTTGACATTTTGCCAAGCTAGAAAAACCCAGAAGGGTTTGGGATGATTTCCTTTAAGTCCTGACAAATTGCAGGGGTCTTAGATATCTAAGTGGAAATGCCAGCAGAACGCATGAACCTTAAGTTCAGACTGGAAATCTGGGCAGGACAGGACATTTGGGAGTCATCAGCTCATGGATGGCAGTTAAAGCCACAGACACAGACATTTCTCAAGAAGTGGGTACAGCTACACTTGATCTTAGCCAAAAGGCCGAGAAGCGATGAGAAGTGGGTACAGCTAGAGAAGAAGGGAGATGGCTGAACAATGAGCCCTGTGGTCCTCTAGTCTTATGAGGGGCAGTCCCTCATCTTAAGGGGATATGAGGGACCAGTGATAGAGACTGAGGCAGGATTAGGGGAGCTTATCAAAAACCCAACACCTCAACTCAAGAAGGAACCAGGACATGAAAAGGGTCCATTCATGTGATTCAGTGCTCTGTGGGCTCCGGGGGTCTTTGCAACTTCTGTTCTCACTAGCACTTTAATTATTACTTTACTGATGTTCTTTCAATGGCTTTTTAAAATTGTGGTAAAAAATACATAAAAGATACCATCTTAGCCATTTCTAAACATACAGTTGAGTATTGTTAGGGATATTCACATTGTTGTCAATCAATCTTCAGAACTGTTTTCAGCTTTCAGCACTGACACTCCCTACTCCTTAAACAACTCCCCATTCTCCGCTCCCTCCAGCCCCTGGCAACCACCATATTCTATATATAGTAGCTGTCATTTTGAGATTGGTTTATTTCATTTAATGTTCATTTAGGTTGTAGCAAGCACGTGTCAGAATCTCCTTCTCTTTTTAAGGTTGATTACAATATCCTATTGTATGAATAAACCATATTATGTTTATCCATTCATTTGTCACAGAAGCATGCTCTGGCTGTCCTGAGGAAAATTTTCTATTATAATCTCCCCACACTTCCCAGCTAAATACTCTGCAGGCTTTTGCAGTAACAATGTCCTTGCTACTCTTTACAGTTTGATCACGTCTTCGCACCCCTAAGCAATATTTTATTTTTTGCCAGTATTCGAGCTTTATATAAACGGTATCGGTCCGCATGCATTTGAGCGCATCACTCTTTTGTTAAGCGTGTGTCGGTGAGATCCATCAATGTTCGCGCAGCACTCATTTCTGGGTTTTCTGTATAGAAGTTCATAGCAGGAAAATTCACCCTCAGTCTCTTCAAATACAAATCCACAGACACAGAGCGAAGCTATACCTGTCTCCTTCTGCTTCCCGGCAGGGGTCTCCATGGCGGCCCTCGGCAGCGTCCCCCGGAGACTGGGCAGCTCTGCAGCCTCCTGGGCCCCAGGCTAGCCCCAGAGGAGCGGGTCCTGCTCCCGGGGCTCAGGGTCAGCGGTCTGCCGGGGAGCTCCGGGGGGGATTGCACACGCAATCGCGGCACAGCGATCACACGCCCACTGGGGTGAGGGTCAGTCTCGCTCAGCCCGCGCGCCACACCCCAGGCTGCGCTCTCGCCCCATCACCCGCGCCCTACCCTGCCGGCCACACAGTTCTGGGGGCCGCGCGGGGCCTCGATCTCAGGCGCCGGGATGCAGAGGGCGAACGACAGCCTGAGTGACCGACCGGGCGATCGAAGAGATGTCGGGGCCAGCGCACCGCAGGACAGCACCAGTCACGGAAGAGCAGCCTGGCCGCCGCCTAGGAAAAGCGCGCCTGCCCAGCAACTGCAGCTCCCGGGGGCCTCCGCGCAGCTCTGGCGCGGACTCCGAGCCCCAGAAGAGGCTTGCGGCGCGGGGGCTGCCCTGCCGTGCGGACGTGGGCGAGCCCATAGCACAGACTTCTGCCAAGTGGGGCTCCCGGGCCGCCGAGTCGCCGGGCGTGGGTGTCGCTGCCGGGGCGCCCAGGAGGGCGGCGCTGGAGAACTTGGAGGGTGGGAGGTGCGCTGTAGGCTGGCACACCTCTCCAGCCGGAGCGGGTGGTGCCGGCTTACAGCCGTCTTTGCAGGAACGCTCTGGGGATCAGCCTTGGTGGACCGGCACTCAGGAGGTTTCCCCAGGGACTCTGTCCACGCTGCTCCTACGAAGCCCTTGGGGCATGCAGCCAGCCCGGGAGGTGTTACAGAAAACTGCTTTAGTGGGCTGGAAAGCACTCTTAAGAACAAATGGGTGCAGGTTTATTGTTATTACACTAGTGGGCGCCAGATGGGAGAGGTTTCTCTCCTGGAAATCTCTAGGCCCTGAATGTACACAAAATTTTCTTTTATACTCAGTTACTTTAACATGGGTTGCAATTTGAAGGTTAGACGAATGTGAGAAAAAGGGGAGTTTCCCTAAAGGGGAGTAGGGAGAGGGGCCAGCAGAAGATAAGATTCCTGCTTGCTCTACTGTCCCTCCTCTTGGAATACTGACTTGTCAGCAAGAGGGGAACCTGCAAATGATAAGAAGGTAATCTTGCTAATTGTGCCAGGTGGAGATGTTTGTTTGATGGGCCTATTCACTACATCACTTGTTTCATTGCTTTCCGCTTCCTCATTAATTTCAACATAACTTTGGGCATTTTCCCCAAGAGGTATAGCCTTAGCTCTGCTCTCAGGCCAATTGTTTCAGTCTCTAGCCCTTGTCAGGAGCTGGGGAAGGAGGGTGCTGGTGGTAACCCAGCGTTGACAGAGTGCTCTAACAATGCCATCCTCTTGGATTCGAACCCTGGGTTCAGTTCTGGCTACAAGCTCCACCCAGCTAGCATTAGCTCCCCATAGCTATATGGAGGCCCCTTCTGTGGTAGCTAGCCTTTAGTATGACCCATGTAAAATTCCCCCTCTAGTTTCATAC